CTCCCGGGGGAACGCAAGGGCTGGTGCCAGGGGCAGGGGCCGCCCGGGGAGCCCGGGCCGGGCACCCGCCCCTCGCTCGCAACCGCTCTGGGCCCCCCCGCAGCCCCCCGAGGGCCATGCTAGGCAGCACCGCCACCTCCCGAGGCCGCGGCCTGGGGGTCCTGGCCCGGACGCCCCGGCTTTGCCCTTGCCACGCGGAGGAGAAGAGGCCCACGCGGCGTGGCAGGCCCCCCCCCGCGCCGCTTCCCAGGGGCTGCGCTCGGGCGGGGGGGGCTGCACACCGACGTCCCCCCCGAAGGTGCGACCTGCTGCGCCCGCAGGCATCGCCCCCCCCCAGCACGGTGCCTGAGCAGGGGCCACCTCGCCCCCCCAGCCGCAGCCTCATCTGGTGGCAGCCTCCCCCCGTGGCCGCTGGCCAGGGAAGGGGATGTTTAGGGGATGAGTAACATCCTTCCTGGCAAGGCCTCTGCCCGCTCCTGGAAGCGTGCTGCGGGCACCGGGAAGCTCAGCCCCTTGGCCTGCCTCTTGCCCCAATCAGCTGGGGAAAGAAGCCAAGAGCAGGAGGCAACCTGGGGATGGGGCCAGGGCAAACGAACCCAGACGAAGCCCGCTGAATCGGCAGGAGGAGTCCCAGGTGCCAGGGAGAGGAGAGGGAGGATGCTGCGTGGCAAGGCAGGAGGCAGCCAGGAGGCACAGGTTGGGGGAGGCAGCCTAGGGCCCCCTCCGGAGCGGGGCTGGAAGCCAGAGCCTGGCTGAGTGCTGCCAGAAGCAGCTTATTTTGGAAAAGAGGCGTCTTGGCTGAGCGCTTGGTGCGTGGAGCTGCTGACGCTGGGGAACAGGACGGCTCTCAGAGAGCAGGTCCCAGCCATGCCTTGCGGGCCAACGCTGCTTGGCTTCAGCTTGTCGCTGAATCTGCCACAGCACAACCAGGACTGGATCCCTAACTCCTGAGTCACCACTGCAAAGGGGTTTGGACACCCCAGCCACAAGCCGGCACAATGCCCAGGGCCACAACTCGCCCTGAATGCGAAAGGAGCTGCCTGGGATCCACCAAGCAGGATGCACAGACCTCTTGCCAGCTCTGACCCATGGGGCTTGGTACAACCTCAAGCCTCGAATGGGGAAAGCGAGGTGCACACAAGCTGGTGGGGGGCACTTTACCCCACCACTAGACCCTGCTCCCCAGCCTCAGCTCCCAAGAGCAGTACCAGCCCCACTATGCCAGCAGCACAGCGAGCCTGGCCCAGACCCTCTCACTGCTCAGATCAGGGGACTCGAGGCAGCCCCCTCACAGGCAGTGGGGGTCTGGCCCAGAGCTGGAGCAGTGCTGGCAGCAGGCCACGGCATTCAGCCATGACCAGGGCGAGTGACGGCGGGAGGGATTGCAAACTTTGCAACAGAAACTGGACCTGCTTCACCTTCCCCAGTGCCCTGCTGGCATCCACAGGGCCGAGGATCTGGCATACAGGCAGCTCCCTGCCAGCATCCCCTGTCCTTCCAGAGAGGGGCTGGGGAGCACACACGGGGCAGGGGCTGGCTGCAGCTCACAGCCTCTCGCTGTGTCCAGACACGGTGCAGGAGCTCCCTCCAACTGCAGGTGACTCATGGCTTCGCATGACATAAATTGGGTCAGGTCTCAGCCCCTTTCCCGCACAAGGGCACAGCTGTGAGCAGGCAACATCGTCCGCCTGGGGAAGGAGCAGCCGAGCTCCCCGCCGCGCACCAGGCTGCCCTGCCCTTTGGAGCCACACACTAGAGCATTGTGGCCCAGCTGGTTTTTCCAGAGATGCATCCAAGGGGCGAAATCAGATCTCAAGGGAAGGGAGCAGGCACGTTCCTGGCTGCACAAAGGAGCTGTCGAGGCAATGCCAGGAACTGGGGCAGCTGCTGGGCACCACAGCCTGGGCAGAGGAAAACCAAGCAGACAAGCTCCCAAACCTGGGCTGTGCCTTGCTGCCCCTAACTCCAGAAGCTGCTGCTCCTTTACAGACCTTTGTTTGCAAACCCTGCGGCAGAGGCACCTTGCCCTGGCACTTCCCGCCAGCTTTGTTTTATGCTATCAGATCTTAAACAACCAGCCTGGAAGGCTGGGACACGGGGAAGGACCCTGCTGGGGGACCAGGGAAGGGCTTGTGGGAGGAAAGCTCTCAAAGGAAAACAGAAAAGCAGCATGTGGCAAGGGAGTTCCCTCCGCACAGGGAAGGTATTTTTGGTCAGGGCTTGTCTAGACTGGAGTAACCCACACTGCGTAAGCACATCAACACCACGCAAGCCTGGGGCATGCGGGGCCTGCTGTTCCCGGCCAGGACAGATCAGGCTGCACTGACCGAGTGTGAGCAAGAGGCTCTGGAGGCAGAGCTGATGCCAGCACTGGGGTGACCCCAGGTGCTCCTGGGCCCTGTCCCCCAGGTCTTGGTACCCTGCAGAGTCCAGGATGTGCCTGGGTAGAGGGAGCTTACAGCACCCAGGACTCTGGGGGTCCAGCCAGGGTTCCCTGTACCACGTCAGCAGCTCTGCCCACCTCTGGCAAGCTGCGGGCAGGACCCAAGTGGCCCTGAGCACTGCAGGCAGAACTGGGATACCCCCATCTTGACCCAGACCCCAGAACTGGGCAGGGCTGTTGCTGACACCGTGGGTGACATGAAGGAGCAGACACAGCCCTGGCTGACCCTTGAGCCTGGTCCAGCCTGGCCCTGCCAGGGTGCTGCCTCCCAGTGCCCCCCCATCACTCCCCAGCAGGGCAGAAGGCCCTGTGCCCCTTGCCAGCTCCCCAGCCTGGGGCCACTGCATGTCCCTGCTGCAGCCTTTCCCGCAGGAGGGATGCAGGGTGGCTGTGCCAGGGCTCCCTCACCGCCTTGCCTTCCCTCAGCTCTGGCTGCCGGAGCAGGCAGGGGAGCTGCAGGCGCAAAACGTCACTTTTTCCAAGAGCTTCTCCCCGCCTTCCCTTCCCCCTCACAGAGGCCAGCCGTGGTGCCGGGGAGCTCGGGAGGCTCCCGGGGTCAGGGCGAAGGCAGCGCCAGGACAGGACCCAGCTGGGACCCTGCGCTGGCCACAGCTCTTCTCGCCTCTCCAAGGCAGTACTTCCCAGGCAGTGTGGGCGAGGAGCGCCTGGCCAGCCCCATCTTTGCTGGGGCTCCTTCCCATGGGAGGGGGCTGCTCCCATCGGCCCTTCACTGTCCCATCAGCCCTGTTCGAGACCAGCTTTCCCAGCACAATTGGGAGAGGGGCTCAGCAGCCCTGACAACAAGCAAACCTCCCTGCTAGTGAGGGGCTTCAGACCTCTTTCCCTTGGAAAAGGAAACCCTAAACACTTAAGCCCATGCACTCCAAGGCCAGGAGCATCCATGGAGTAAGAGAACAGGCCTGACACATTCTTTAACGATGATCTAATTTAAAAAACACATTTTTATAAAAACACATCATAATGAAAATGCATGTAGTTTAAAAAGAGGCCCACAGCGCTCCAGTGCCGGAGGCAGCTGTGTGTCGGTGATGGGACTGCTCCATGGCCCACTCCCCACCATCCCAGGGCATTCAGAGTCCTGTGTCTAGCTCCACCTCCCCTTTATTTTCCTTTACCACAGAAAGCTTCTCCCCTCCCCCCTACCCCCCCACACCCCCTAAAGCATCAGCTGAAGCTGCAGGAGAGACAAAGGCTCAAGCATCCCCCTCACCCCAAGCCAGGTGCGAAGCAGGCAGGGTGCAAGAAGCCCTCACTTCCAGCACTGCAGCATCAGGCACCACTGGAGAAAAGCCTGCTCATGTACCCTTTGCTCACACCAGCCGCTGGTGGCCAGGACTGCTTTTAAAGGTAATCAGGGAACAGAGAAGAGCTCTGGATTGCTTTGACCCTTTCCAAAAAAGTATTGTTAGCCCAGCAGCTGTCCTCCTCCCCCTGTGCTTGTGAAGATTTGTACTCATAAGGCTGGATAATTTGACAGGGATAACACACACACTCAGCACAGGCAACCTCAGACTTCCTGACGAGTTTGCTCTTGGCTTGGTGTGGTTTGCCAGCCCGATAAATCCACTCCCACGTGCCACCCTTCCCTCCCTCCCTTCACACGGAGGGCTGGGACGGCAGCCTTGGAGCGTGACTCAGACGCACAGGGGATCGAGGACCTCCCCTTCCCACGGGCAGGGCGCTGGGATCACCAGGCACGGGCAAGCACAGAGGCACCACAGGCATGGGGAGCTGGGAGCCGTGGCACTGCGGGAGCAGGCATGGACAGGGCCATCCTGCAGGTACCTGCAGCAGTGAGAGGCACTGGAGCCGTGGAGCCAATGGTTAATACAGAGCCAGTGTCCCCGTCCCTCGCGCCAGGAGCGGTGTGGAGCACAGCGAGGGGCAGGTGTGCAGTCCGGCGCGCGTGGCCCGCACACAGCTCACGGGGCACCCCGGTAGCTGTAGTGATTGCGATCGGGGTCGCTCATGGTGAGCGGCAGGCTGGGCTTGCGCTCCGGGTCTTTGTCGTCGCACTGCCGCGGGGGACGGTGCTTGAAGAAGTCAGAGACATAGCGGACCTGGAAAAGACCGATGGGAAGAAGGGTTTGAGGACCCCTCTGACCCCTCCGGCAGGCTGAGCTGCAGCCAGTGGTAAACCGGCAGAGCATCAGGTTGGGCAGGGGCCACTCACGATGAGGACGGCAATGAGAGCCCCTTGGAGCAGCCCTGCCAGCACATCGCTCCAGTGGTGCTTGTAGTCAGACACCCTGGTGTAGCCCACGTAGATGGCGAAGGTGATGAGGAAGAACTGGATGGTGGGGCGCAGCAGCCGGGCCCACTTCCCCACCAGCCGGGCTTGCACGTAGAGCTGGGCAGGGAAGGGGGAACAATCACCCAGCGCAGGAGGCACCAACTGGCCTGAAGATGGGGGGCTCAGGGCACCGGTCGCACTGGGGGACGGGACCCACAGAGGCTCGCTGCCATCCTGCAGCACAGAGTGCCCAGAGCACAGCACTTACCGCCAGGAACATCATGCAGTACATCCCAAAGGAGGAGTGCCCAGAATAGAAGGACAGTCTGTGGGGCAAAAGGGATGGGTCAGGCCATGAGAGGGAGCCCCCAGTGCCCATGCGGTTCCCCACAAGCTCCCCACCCACTCTGTGGGCTCTGCCCTGCAGCAGGAGAGCACCGTTACCCGTCTGGGGCTGCCACCAGACCACAGGAGCCCAGTGCCGCCAGGCCAGTGGAGTGGACATGTCCTGTGGCCCCATGGCTCACCTGGACTCTGTGATGTTCTTGCTCTCCCCCTGGCAGACGTTCTCCAGCTGCACGTAGATGGAGCAGTTCACCTTGGACCAGTCAGGATTGCAGACGGCCAGGAAGTTCGGCCGGAGACGGCCGATCATGTATTTGGCCAGGTCAGTCAGGGACTGGCTGATGGCCCCCCCAAACAGAAAGGTCCCAACCACCTTGTAGAGGGCAGCCAGGTAGTTGTTGAACTCTGACTTGGAGTAGAGGCGCTCCGTGTAGACCAGGTACGCCTCCCCTGACGAGATCTACAAAGACCAAGGGGTGAGGGTCTTGGGGCTACTGAGCAGCTCCCCAGCACCAGGGGTATGGGACACTTTGGCTTTCATGTCTGCGGCAAAGGAGCCCCAGGCACCTGCCTGCCTGCCATGGGAGCTCCTGGGGCCTCTCCCCCTCCCTGCAGGGAACCAGCCCCCCAGGACGTGGGTCTCGCTGCCCCAGAGGGAGCTCCTGACCCCCAGCAGAGCAGGGCTCGACCCGAGCATCCTGTTGCCCTGCCAGGGGTCTGGAGGTGGGCTGTGCTGGGACCCAGCTCCCAGATACAATGTGCCAGGATGTCCCTGAGCCAGAGGAAAGGGGATAGCACTTCCTTACAATGACAACAGTGCAGGTAATGGTGACCCCAGCCATGAGGCCATGGGTGATGGTATCTGCCTTGTAGGGGTAGCGGATGGAGTCATCGTTGCAGTAGAAGCCCCGCTTGTACGGGGAGTTCACCAGTGTCAGGATGACGAAGGGCAGAGACGCTGCAAGGCAGAGAGAAGGTGAAGACTGGGGACAGCCGCCTGCAGGCATCACACAGGCACCCAGCATCACACGGTCTACCCATCCCTCACCCCCAGGTCTCTGCTCCCCGCTGCCAGGGAGGGATCCCCTCTGGGGATGCAGTCCCAAGCCACCCGCACCCAGGACAGGAGGACTTGCACCCGCCAGCACGCCAGCCGCACTGCTGATAGGGCGCTATCGGAGCTCACAGCTGCCTGCAGCACCCAGATACCACATGAGATGGCCGCAACCAGGCACCTGCAGAGTCCCCAAGGCTGCCCCACTCCTCCCCAGGCGCAGCAGTGGCAGGGCCTGGTGCAGGAGAGCAGGGCTAATCTTGTGCCCTCTCCTCACACTCCCTAGGGTCTTTCAGCCTAGGAGGATGGAGCTCATTAGAATTAACGAGCACAGGCATCTTGCAAACCTGTTTTACAGCAGGGAAGGGCCCCCAGGCCCCAGATGGTCCTGGCAGAGCCCTCACACCAGCTCCAGGAGAGCCAGTGGCTGGAGATGCTGGTGGGTTATCCACCCCAGGCACAGTCAGACCCCAGTGTACTTGGGTTTCCCACCCTCACCCTCCCACAGCCCTTGCTCCTGCCAGCCTTTCCTTTTCCCCGGCTCCTGGCAGGACTCTGGAGAGATGCTGTGACCGGCTGGATCAGTCCAGGCGAGGAGGCTCTTTCAGCCGGCGTGCCCCAGCCCTGGCCACAAGCATCTTGGAGCTCGTCCCTGGACGGGACCGCCCCCAAGATCAAAAGGGGTTTTGGGGGGGTCTCTGCCCCGTGCAGCAGGCATGCCAAATCCCCCGCTGAAAGGGGACCTCCTGCCACTGGGGCCGCTCTGACCCTGCCCAGGGGACGCTCCCTCTGGCAGCGCCGGGCAGCCCCAGGAGAAGCCCGGACAGGGCCGAGCGCTGGAGGCACCCACCCCGGGACACGGGGCACCGCCGGCCCCGGGATGCTCTGCCCCGGGGAGAGGCCCCGGAGAGCGCGGTCCTCCCCCGGGCCGCAGTCCACCTTAAGCCCGGGCTCCCCTCCCGGTTCCGCCTTTCCCGGCGGTTTCCGCCTCCCCTCGTTCCACCGTCTCCCGGGAACACGCACCTTTGTCCCCCGCCCGCACCCTCCTCCCCCCCGGGGCGCACCCGCGGGGGGGGTGTGTGTGTGTCCCTCCGCCGCCTCTTGCGCCCACCGAGTGAGCGGGGAAAACGACAACAAAATACCAGCCTGCGGCTCCCCGGCCTCCCCCCGCCGCCCCCCTGCTCCCCCCGAGCGCAGGCAGCAGCGGCCAGAAAACGCTGCCAGGGCGCTGGGAACGAGCCCCAGCTTCGGGGGGCCGGCTGCCCGGCGCAGGGGTGTCTGCAGGCGCCTCTGCGTGCGCCTCAAACCTTAATTTGCAGCTCAAGTTAGACACCAATTTTCTTTCTGGGTAATTTCGTCCTCCAAAAAAGCTCCCCTAAAAATAAAAGACACCGGCATATCGGAGCAACCCAAACAAAAACAGGAACCTGCCTCTCCCCACCGGTGCTTAGAGCCCAAGAAAGCAGCGCCCGGCCCGGGAGGTTCAGGCTGAAATTACGACCTGGGCCTTTATTTTTAGTCCGTCTTAATTAGGTGCTTGTCAGCGTCAGTTTTAGAAACGGGCGTTTGCCTGCACCGGGGGACAGGGCGGGGGGATGTAACTGGGAAGGGGCACCCCGAACCCAGCTGCCCGGGGCTGCGGAGCCCCCCGGCCCCCCTCCGGCTCCGGCCGCCCGCGGAGCGCAGGGCC